ACAGACAGACAGACAGACAGACAGAGAGATAGAATAATGCAGTGTCCCCGGGTGGCACATGCGTCCGCGATGTCGATAATGCGATCTCGACCGGCCAGCATAACAAGCATTACGAACGTTTGGTCCTATTTTTCTCAATCGGCAAAAGACAGTGCAAAAAAGCATTCGTAACTCAAAGTAGGCCCCCCCCCAACCAAAAGATTTAATCTAGCAGATTTTTTGCGATTGTTGTTGGCGCAGGCTTCCACAACGCCTCAGCACCTTCAGCGCGGGCGGAATTTCTTGGGCGCGTCCACCCGGAACCAAGCACGTCACTTTATCTGAGCGTCTTCTTCTTCTTCTTCAATTTGCTTGGCCACCTCTTCCGACAGCATCAGGCTCGTGCCACACACGTTCTCCACTGAGACCCACCCCCCGCATTCCTGTACCGGATTGATGAGGCCTGCAACTGCGTTGCTTCGCGCTACTCCAAGACCAAGCAAGACATGGACCCCTGCCGCTCACACACACACACACTTAGATTATGGGTTTGCAGTTAACTCTGTTCCACATCGAAAAGAGTGAGGGAACGTAACGGCGCAAATCAGCAAAACTGAAATTGCTGGCACGTGACTGCAGAATGCGGCGGCGACAAGCTCAGCTGCAGGAAAACGGGTTTATGGGGAGCATAATGTAAACCACCATGGCAGCAAAAAATGAGGAATTGGACAGCGTGGTCAAAAGTTCCGGTTGCAGGTACATGAGAGTGATCAGCTCTCACTTCCCGTGCGTCAGGTAGCTTCGTTGGACATGGTCCCTGAACGCACACCATGTCCCCCTGTTTGCAAAGTGGCAGAACCAAACTCCTGGGGACAGAGTGTGACACACACACAGAGAGGAAAAGAAAACCAGCCCGCCATCACCCCAATCCATACAAACACTGCTGGTAAAAAAGTGTGAGGCGCCGCTAAATCTTTGAAGACGTCAAAGCTCACTTCCGCCTTCTCACCAAAGCACCCTTCCACACATCTTCAATCATGACCTCTGTGCAAAAAGGTAGCACTGCAGCGTGTCGCACATCCTGAAAGACTCCTGTCACTGAGCACTCAAAGGCACAAAGGTTAAGGAACCTGACTGACCTGACTTTCTTTTCTTGACGAAGGATCGTCTCCATCCATCCCGTGTCGGCATCTCTCCTTAACATGCAAAACCAAAGAAGGCCTTCAGATTCCCCCCCGCGTTTTTTAAAGGTTTCAAGCCGCAGGGCCCCTTATAAGACAAGAGCGAACCGCTCAGCTTGTCACCCTTCTTGACAGTGGCTGCAAATAGCGGGGCCCACTGAAAAACCACGCGCGCTTTGACACCGAGCCGATGACATAACACAACCCCGAAACCAGAATGGAACCTAGGGCGCGTCTCTCACTCTTGCTCAATGAGCACGGGTGGAAGGCTTCTTTGCAGCGGCAACATCTCCATCAACAAAGGGTTTGGCTGCAAGTGCGAGCTACTGTGTGAGCTCCATCACCCAGGAAATTTCTTCGTAGCCGGAAAAGTTTCTTCGATCCAACAACAAGAAGAGATCGGGATATTCGGTTGGAGCCACTGTTTGGAAGCATGAGGCTTGAAATTTGAATGGACCTAAACAGAAGGATATAGAACGATCTAAGTAGATTTGTGTGCAGTGTCACTAACCGCCCTTCAGGGAAGCCCTGAACAAAAAACTACCAAATGGAGCTATTTAGGCTGCCCTCTCCAGCTCAATGGCACCTTCTCCTCTCATGAGCTTGCGAGCTTTGGACTGGGTGCGCAGCCTGGCTGCCCTTCCGACAAAACAAGTCTCTTGCGAGCAATGTGACCGTCTGGCCATGCGGATACTCCCTTCTTTCTTTCCTTGAGCTATGTTGCGCAGTCAGAGAGTGTGTCCTGAGCAGACTCAGTGTCTGGGCCATAGGATGAGGCAAGCAAGTAAGCCTAAACTTCTAGGCTACTCTACGACAGGTTCTCTTGCAGTTGGACGGCCTGGAAAAAGGAGCCCTCACAGGCTGCAGATTGGCTTGGGCCAGCTCGCAAGCAAACACCACACGCTCCGCATTTTTGAGCTGCGTTTCTGCGAGCACGCGAAGCCACAAGTCCTCTGCCTCTTTAAGCTTGCTCTTTGCAAGAGAGCACCCAGAAATGCAAAAGCAGGGCGAATTTGTGCAATGGTGTTGTCGGTACGATTCGGTATCCAAGTTGAGGCATGTAGCCTGGCTAAGTGGACTTCTGGAAGATTGGCGCAGGAAACTGGAACAAGATCGAAAACACCAACGTTCTTTTCCAGACTTCTTTCGCCTCGAAGCGTTTCATGAGCTGCTCGATGCATGACTGACTGTATTGTTTCAGGAGGTTGGAAATGGCCTTCATGTCTTGCGCAGTGCAACCTTCTGCAAAGTGATCCTCTGGTCCATGACCTGGCCCCTACCTATGGTGTCGGTCAAGCGGATCATTTGTGGCCAGTAGAGGAAGCGAGATCAACAGAACTCTTCGTATTTATATAGCCTGATCTTTTTCGACCGACCAAGCCAGCGGCAGGTAATAATACATTTGGCTGTTGGGAAAGGGGTGGGGCTGTGGTTACTTTGCTCAGTGGGGAGGCTGTTCACCAGGTAATAAACACAGTAAATGGTACCTGAGGGACAAACCTTATAGCAACCTCACCCGGCGGTGGTCTCCTATTTCAAAACCTTGGGTTGTAATTTCAAGTGATGTCGGGTGAGGTCGCCATACTTCGACCAGATAATTCATGGACGCTTCACCTGGAATTCGACAAAAAGAAGCCAAACCAATCTTCTTCCTCACTTTCGGTCTTTTGAACATTTTGGACAATTTTGATCCTTTTGGGCCAGAACTCAAAAACAAAAAACATTTTAAACAACTCGCAATAACTCGCAAAACCCATGTCATCAATTTCTTCATATTCCTTCCACCCTCTCAACGGCCTTCCCTCCTGGCTACGTCCCAGTGGCCCAGCTCGGTGAGCTGATACTCCGAGGGGTTCGAGTCCACTGTCTCCAAGCCTTGGAGGTTTGAGGTTCGCACGAGCTACTCGCGCGGGTTGAGGTTTCTTGTGTCCGTTCGGGGATGAGGGCAGGGGGGCGGACCGCAACGGAGCGCCGAAGAACGGGCCGCTGGCTCATCGATCGAAGCTCTGACAGTTCGATCGGTGGATCATCGCAAAGACGGATGGACCTTTGGGAGATCAAAGGATTCGACACCTTCGATCCTTTCTGTTCATGAGTGCTTCTGTCTGATGTTGCCAGGCCACAAACCGCGCAAAAAGGCCGTTCTCCAGCGGAGGCCGTGGGTGTGGGAGAGACCACCTAAGGCGCGGGAATCGGCGGCTTTTTGGGCACTTGGGAAGCGGAAGGATCAGTGGATTCTAGTGCTTTTCGGGGTGCTTTTGTCATTTTGGAATCAATTTGCTGTGAAGATTCTTGGCTGGGGTGGCGTTGACCAGTGGTTTGATGGTTTGATGGCTCTTCTGAGTGATTGGAGACTAGAACCTAGAATGACTTACTTACTTAAGAGTGCTTGACTGAAGGGTAAAAGTGAGCGTAAATTCATTATCAATCTCAGTATGCAGGAAACTCAAGTCCCACCTCTTCTTGTCTTCCTTGTACTTTTTGCCGTGGTGTTCTGCCAGAGCGCTTGGAAAAGATCCTTGTACTTTGCGGTAGATCATGGGACGCACTTGGTGTTGAAAACAAACACAAACAAGGTCAAAATCTTCGGTGTTGGTGAAGATCCTATCTTAAAGCAAGTATTCCCTTATATTAATATCTGTTGGTGCCATGCCGTATCGGAGATTCATATCTCTCAAGATCTCTCAAGCAATGCTCGGCTGGGCGATCGCGCGATCCTTTTTTTCTCCGATACGCCCAGTCGGGTTCCTTGACACCTTTGTTGAGTTCGTCAGGTTCCAAGAGCTCCTTTTTCCGGTCCGGACGAGCCCGACACCCTCCAACTTGATTCATTCTCAGGTAGAGTCAATTTCCAACAAAGCACTTTCACCCTCTCCACTTCAGCAACCACAAGTCCTACCTATCAAAGCCCCTCACCCCTCCCCCGGCCAGGTGCTCAACAAGCCGCGCTCTGCGTGCCCGCGCCCGTCCCCACGAAGAGCTCTGGCAGCTCTGGTGGTGGCGGTGAAGGTGAAGGCGCTGGAGGCTCATAGCCGTGGGAGGCGCTGGGTAACCTGAAGCGGGGACTGGCTGCCGTCGCTAGCTGCACCACGCAGTAGATCGAACGGCGTAGAGCGGTCGCAGGGTGGTTTTTGATTCAGGACATGTCAGGACCTAACGGGTGTTGAGAGGTGCTGAGTGGATAATGGATAAGGTCTAAGGCCCTGGAGCTTAGGGATGCCTCGGCATGCTCCAATGTGAGGAGGAACTAGTACCCATCATGTCTGCTTTCCATCAAAAAGGCCATCTGATTTTCCGATGAGTTTCCCGCCGTGCTTGCTGTCCATGTAGAGCACTGCTTGTCTACTTGGCCAGAAAAAGAGTCTCAAAAACTCTGCACATCTTCCGTCACATCTATCGATCTACCCCTGGTCGCTGGCCCTTTTTACTGCCCTTTTTGTTGTTTTTTGTTGATCGGCGCCCCAGAACTCCGCCCCTCTACCGGCTGCGGGAGTGCCGCGGCACATGAAGGGCGTGGAGGGACACGGCTCCCGGACCATGGGCCGATCCGCATGCTGCGGCACCGGCGACCAGCGGCGACCGAAGGTGTTGGGGCTGGCCGAGTCCTCCAAGAGCGGGCCTCCAGTGGGTCTCTTCGCGGGTGATCAGTGGGAGTGAAAGGGAAAGAATGATGAATGGCTGTCCGGCGGTGAGGAAAGAATTGTCTTTTTGTTGAAAGAGGAGAAAGATGGAGAAGGAGTGTGCTGAGCTCGACGCCGACGGTTCCTGTTTGGGGGGGCATGGTGGGGCACTGACTTCTTCCAACCAGACCGTTGAGGGACTATGATGCTCGTTTGACATGTCATTTCAGGGAGTGGGACTAGTGTGGAAAGTTAAGAGGTGCAAAAAGAGCAAATACAAGGATGGACTGGATGGATATGATTAGACGATTAGACCATGGGATGGATGTCAACTACTATCGTAGAAAGACATCGACAGCTGGGTCCCCAACTGGACAAGTGGTCTCCTTTGAGCACTGACATCGCTGGGGGATTGAGACGCTCAAGAATACCACAGGACATCTTGCCTGGTTCAAATCTCCTGTGCATCTGAGGCGACCTCACAACTAACTAGAATAGACATAGCTTTCAGGGCAAGGTCAGGTTGGAAAGATCTGTGAAAAAGTTGGCCTCTGCATAGAACATTGTGTTGGTGAAGTTACCCTTACACATCTTCCATGTCGTGTTCTGTCCGTGGAATCGATTGACGCACCTGACTGAAACCAAAACCCACCTGCCACGGGCAGTGCACGTGGGGATTTCCCCAAACCCGTGCTCCAGCCTGGCCTGTTTGACACGCCCAAACAAAGTGCAAATTACAAACACCAGGCTCGATGGCATTGAAGCTCTTCCCATGAAAGTCGTCAATCAGCCACTGCACGTCCTGTGTTTCGTACCGATCAGCCATGCGGAGCGAAAGAAAAGAAAAACCAAACGGCGCGGCCGGCGACGAGATCGTCGTCAATCTCCTGGAGAAGTCCGAGGGTCGATTTTGATGTGTTTTTTTTCGGATTGGTCAACACCAACGGCTCAGGGGACGAGGCTCAAATAGAGACCTCAACACGTCGGATGGGAATGGTCGGATGGACGTTGCATGAGACGAGTTCCGTAAAACCACGGGTGTGACGACTCAGTCGTTCCGAACAATGTTCCGTCTCTTGGGCCCCATTCGCTGGGAGCAACGATAGCAGATAGCATCAGCTGGACGACCTGGTGGTCTGAAACAGGCTTGTGAACATGTAGTAAGGAACGTAAGGCTCCATGAGTTTAGGAACAATTTTGTTTGTTCCGTTAAAAATGGCAAACGAACTTCGTTTGCAGCACCAAATTCAGCCTAGCCCATCGGCTGGTGCACCAGTGGAACTCCTGCGGAGTGGCCATGAGCAGTGCAATGAGGTATTCCTCACCTTGGCGTGCGGGGCTGAGCCCGAAGATCGGGGCACAGCTCCGTGCAAGGAGTTCGAGTTGGAACCGATCTCGGTGGAAACTGGATGAGAACTCGAAAACGGAGGATCCAGGGGTTGGAGAGCTGGAGAAGACCTCCAATTTGGGGGGGATGTTTGTGAGATGTCTGTCATATCCCACAAGCATGCTCTTTGGCAGGCCAAAAGGGGCCCCGACTCACCGACTCACCACGAAAGCACGGTTACACGTCCTGGTTCGCCCGGACCGGGGCTCCCGGTCTCGGGTGAAAAAACCGGTCGAGAGCGAGCGAGCCAATCCAGTGGGCTTCCAACCTAGAGATGCACCAGGAGAGAGCGAGAGACAGAATGAGTCACTGATTGATGCTACAGTACGAGTCAGTCTTCGACACAGTCGATGCACTCTGACAGTAAGTCGACGGAGTCACCAAATTGGATGACCAAACACCTCTCTTTAGCGCGAAAAGGCGACCAAAACCAAAACCGCATTTGATGCCCCGGCAATCATTCCACACCCCTTGCACCGACTTCTTGCTGCAAAAATTGCAGCTGACCTCAAGCAAATCCCTGCCCTTCTCCCTTCACCAAACCCCCAAAACAGAACGCCCCATTTGCCACGCATGGCCACGCTAGCCACCCCTCTCCCGCCCGAGCTGCTGTTCTTCCCGTGCAACACGCGGCAGTGACGGAAGCGCCGGTGGGTCGAGGGTCCAAAGGCGCCGAGGAAGTCGCAGAACTCCGGGGCGGACCTCGGTGAGGGTAGTGGGATGGATGAGTCTCCAGTTGATGGAAGACCTATGTAATAGGTATATACATATAGACCTAGAACCTGGATGACCTATACATATATATATTAATATGCATATATATATATATATACACCTATATACCCAGTATACATATATATATATACATATTGTAGTTTAGATAAAATAAAGTATACGAAGCTTAGCTAAGTCAACCAGGGTCAGAGCAACCTCGAGGAGCATTTCGAGCCTCAGTTGGGGTGTGCAAAAGAGTTGTCATCTTCGGATCTGGGATACTTGGCGATTTGGCCGGATCCTTCAGGACCCACGTCCGAATGAGCTGAGCTGAAGAATCCTTCACCAAACTGCCCAACTCATTGGAGGTAAAATCATGTAAAAGCCGATCACCAAAAAGAAGGCCCGGTGAACCTTTTGGGGAATTCAATTTGGAGACCTCGTTGTTCTCCACATTGAAGATAGATGTCTTTTTCTTGGGCACATGTTCCCCTTATTTCGCAGGTACTCTCAAGGTCCTTTGCTGTTTCCAGATCCACATGGACCGGACCTTCACCCCCTTCAGACAACAATATTCAGTGTCGGTTGGGACAGTGTGGCGCTGGTCTGCGGTGTGGTTTGCCTCGTCAGTCACCGACCCTCAAGTAAGTCGGAGCACGGGACAGACCGGTGGTTCCCTCACAGCACGTCGTTGACCGAAGGGTCGGTCACGTCGTTGACCGAAGGGTCGGTCACGTCGTTGACTCGAACGAATGGATCGAATGGAGAATCGATGGGCCCAGCGACCCCGTCGAGGTGTTTTTCGCTCTGAAGGACTTCATGAATTGCTTCCATCAATCCTCCCAAGTAGAGAAGTGTCGAGAGGCATATGACAGGGCACTGAGCTGGCCAAAACCATGCATGCCTCTGGCTTGCCCGAGCTGCTTCCAGCAGCCTGGTCCAACGCGTTCGCTCGCAAAGAGGGTCGTTCGCACAGGGTGAACGTGTGGGAGACAGACCATGACGGACCAGTCACCCAGCGAGAGTCCTTGGAGTCTTTAAAAGAAACGTCGGTTTAGAGACGAAAAAACCGGTTTCCAAATTGGATTCGGGATTTGAGTGATCAAGATCTCTCATGAACCTGCAACTCCCATCAACACATCCCAGTCATCTGGATGGCTTTAAGCTCCCAGGCTCTGGAGAAACATGAACAAGTGGTGGATCTACAGAATATGAGTTGGAAGATTAATAAACGAAAATCATGTAAATTGCATTAATTACTGTGCGCAAAAATCAAAGAGTCATAATGAGCTTTGACCTATTTTGACCAAATCGGAGTGGCACGGAGCAGTTTGAACTCAAACAGCTCCGAGGCGTCGACGGTCGACGCCCTTGGTCTGCCTCGGTGTCGGCGGCGCGGGAGACCTTGATGTGCCCGTGGATGATCTCCACCGATGGGTTCCCAGCCCAGTACCTCAGGCTCCCCGTGGTGAAGGGGTAGGCCATGGTGGATGGTGGTGGAATGGCAGAGAGTGGGAGGCGGCGGCGGAAGGTGAATGCGGCATGGTTGGGGTTGTGGCCACGGTGGGAAGGAAGAACATGGAAGAGCATGGCAGATCCAAGGTGTGGTTCCAAGTACAATAGTTAACACTAGCAAGTGGAGGTGCTGCAAGATTTGGTAGCTCGAGGACCTGACCACCAGGTTTGCCCAAAAAAAGAAGCGAGGTTGCAATAAAACAGAGTTTCTCCTTAGCACTTCTTAGTGCAAAAGGCTTCTCAAACAAGAAGAATCTGACTCGCCAGCGTTCCCGCAGGTGTTGTGGTGCCATGAGCTCCGCGGTCGCTCCATGAGCTCCACTCGTTCCACGACGTCGGAACAACACACGATGGTTTCATTGGAGAAGGTTGAAGGAGATTGTTTCAAAAACACATCTCTAAAAACAAAAAAAACAATCATAATCAAACATCATCTAACACCAAAGAAAAGCAGCTATGTCGCCCACAAATCATTTGCCCGTTTCTCAACGTGCGCACAACTCATTGCACTGAAGGGTGGTCGTCAACGGTGGTCGTCTCTGCCACGGTCTCAACGGCGGTGAGACGGTCGAAGCATGAGAAGTCTCGTTGCGCGGAACATGTGTAGAAACCGTCAGTGGACGACGTGTTGCTCAGTTGAGCAACGAGTCGTTGCTGTGGCAGTTGCTCATGTGTGTTGACTCGGTGTGGCCATACAATCCATGCAACTCTCCCGTCTTCCGTTTCGGATGGCCAAGTCACTCCACGGTTTCTGCTTCTTCCATGGCGATGAGTCGATCGAATTTCAGAGCTTTTCGTGCTGAATCCGTGAGTCTTGCCAGGGGTTGCAAGGGCTTTCTTTCTTTCTTTCCTTCTTTCTTTCTTCCTCTCTCTCTCTCTCTCTCTCTCTCCTTATCTGTCGTTGTTTATGTGTTCGTCTGTTCATTTGTATCTTTAACATCTACTGATATCTATACTGTAATCTCTCTCTCTCTGTGTCTCTTCTCTCACTCTTTGAAACTTGTATCGAACAAACATCTCCGTCCTGTCTGTTCTTTCCTCCTACACAGCTGGAGTGAATTGGTTGCGAGCAGCTGCTCGCGCTATGTACAGGCCTCCCTTGAACGAGAAGCTACGAGACGCAGGCCTTGTGGTTCACCGAGTCTCAACATTTGAGTCTGAGACAAACTGTTCAGAAGATCAGAACTAAACAGTTTGGACCAGAACCGGATCGTCCAAACTCTACGATTTGGAATTCAAACAAGCTCGTATTCAATTTGGTTTCCCGTTCCACTGCTGAAGAGCCCATTCATCTTATAGTCGTCCATGCACGCTGTGACCACGTTGATACCGAATTGCATACCCTCGAATGGCGGTCCTGATGCTCATCTGGACTTCCCCTCAAATGCAATTTGGTCCTTGATCAACTAGAGGCTCCAGTTAGAGAAAAGATAGTTGCCATCCATCCCTCGACCATAATTAGCCTTTAGCATCCTTTAGCGGACCCCTGATACCCCACAACCCCTCAATTGTGAGAGCAAGTGTAGAGAAAAAAGACATCTTGCAACCAAGTGCCAAGGTCAATTCTTCATGTTTCAAGATTTTCCCGGGGCAAATTGTACAAACCTGTGAGGCCTCCAGGAACACCGACACCTTCATCGCACCACCTCCGATTGCCACGCCACGCCCGTCCCGCCAGATGCACATCCTCACGGTGACCGAAGCGCCGCCGGAGCTGTGGGAAGAACCTCACCGAGGTCGGGGAGGTCCGGGACGCGGAACGTCGGTCGCGGAGGTCGGTCATTCACGTGGCGAAAAAACCGTGTGGTTTTTCGTTGTTGTCACCAAGACATGGCCAAGTGAGCTGTGGAAACCTTGATAGATGGTCGTAAGAGGGTGCTTATGCAACACATCGGTGGCATGGCGCCAAGTGAGAAGGTGTGTCACCCACACCGAGCGCTCGACCTTGAGAACATCCAACCGTGTCGGTTCTGGCCGCTTTTTCTTGATCACCATAAACAGTCAACATCCATCCAAAAATCTGGTCTGTAGACTGGGGAAAAGTAGACGAAGTAGTTGTTTAATGATTTAATGTTGTTTACATATATAGTAATATATATATATTTATATATATATGCCTAGGGTCTTTTGACTTAGAGTTCCATCGTCAAAGTCAAGGGGGGAGCTCCGTACTCAACTCGCCGTAATGCGAGCGGTCAATTAGAAAGGTTCAAGAAAAGGTGTTTGTTAAATCCCTTTCTGGGGATGAAGTGAGTCGATTGGTCTTAGCCACCGCTATGACCGACTTAGGATCACCCAAGTCCTGTTGGTTCAGCTTCCTAGCCCAGTCCTCCAGATGACCTACCCGGTGCTTGGGCAATGGTGGCGAGTGCTCAAGGTAAGCTGCTGTTGAGCTATGCAAAGTCCTGCACCACTCTCAATACTCGGTCTAGAGGTGGTGCAGGATGTATTTAGTTGACCGGTCAAGGCTGAAAATCTCCTGCTACAATCAGTGTCATCCAACAAACGATTAACTGAATGGAGACTTCACCTGGTATTAGCACGTTTTTTCGCCGGAGCTCCAAAAATCCAAGTGAAGGGAAAACCAATGAAGGGGAGAACCCGAACCCGGGGTGAAACACCCAATACATTGGACACCGGACACCGTGGCCTAGTTCCCATTGACCAGCACTGCCCACTGCCCAGTCCGCGCTTGCCAGGAAGCTTCTGATCTCCCTCAACGACCAAGGCAGAGTAGCCTAAAGCGCCGTGGCCACTTTCCCGCCAGTGGGGGGGGGGACGCACGCAGCGGAAGAACGACCCCGGTTTGCTGTGTTGCTCCATTCGTAGCGTCCGAAAAAGCTCCGTTCGTAGTAAGGCAAACCTGTTTCTGTCTGTTCTTGTTTATACTGGAGAAACCAATTCCCCAAAAAAGGGTTGAAGGTTCTCCACTTTTCCTGGGTAGGACTTGTGACTAAGACACCTTCGCCCCCCAGTTGCGACTCGTGACCTTCGCCTTTCGATTGACCGTGCCTTGACCCGTCATTCACCGATGAAGTGTACCATGCCTTCGGGAGTTCATGTCTTCGGCCAAGTGCAACATGACTCAAGATGTCTGGATGATTCATGGACTGCAGTGGTTTACTTTCAAACCTGAAAGAGTACTGATTTCGGACACCCAGAGTCGACTCCCGATTGGTCGAGGTCCGACTCTTCGTCCGGTCCGGTCCCCGAGACGTCCAAACAGCTCGACCGGCCACCGGAGCAGCCACTCCGGTGCCACCGGTGCAGGTCGAGCAGCCAGCCGTCGTCAAACAATTGGCAGGGTCAGCGTTCCAGTCCTGGACCGCAGAGAGGTACTGCGGTGAAAGAGCGTAGGGGTGTTGTTTCTGTCCTTCCTTTTTTAGGCAGAAAGAGCGCGGTGATTTTTGGATGGCTGGAATGCTTCAGAAAAGCCCATAGTAACGTAGTAACGTAGTATTTTACGGAGGATCCACCTCACGAAGTCAGTTGTAGCAGGTGTTGACTGCCTAGGTTCCCTCTTGAACCATGATTGTGGCTCAAGTATCCAATAACATCTAAACATGGCTGAAGGACAACTAGATTAGTCCAATTGTCTTAAATGTCTGGGTGATATATTTCTTGAGCCACATCCAGAGTAACAGTACAGTATATGATTTTGCATGTTGACACGCCACCGCCACTTCGAACACCAGTACCCCAGCCCCTAACAACACGGGAGGCACGCGTATCCTACAAGCGCGTATCCTACAACTCAGCGCACCAGAGCATTCGACTTGTTTGGGGATCTTGTGGGGAGGCCGTTTGACATTGCCTTGCATATTTTGGGTTACACGACGCAACCTTCAAAGCTACTAGGAACAAGCGCATCGCTACTAGGAGCAAGGGACTTACTAGTAGTAACAAGAAGCTACTAGGAACAAGAAGCTACTAGGGGCTCCTGGCATCGCCTTCACTTTTTTGGACCCGCGAGTCGGAGTCGGGGAACGAGGAGTTTCCAATTGGGACACCACTGAGTGCAGAACCTATCTGTGTATTCCCATGGAACTGACCTCTGCCCTCTCAGGGATGTTTCGTCGGAAGCGATTGCCCTATCGAAGTCTCAGACCCCTCTCTCGAAGTCTGGCCGTCGACTACTCTGATGCGGCTCATCTCCAGCACTGGGTAGTGGAGAACAAGCGTTTCCTCTGCACTAGCCACATACAGTAAGACAAACATAATATATAGTTGCATCACTGTTAACTCAAACATCCGATAACTCACTGGTGTTTGGAATCCTGCTGTGCAACCACCACAGAGAAAATAGTAATTATACGCCAAAAAAACTAAATGACATCACCTTCACCCCCAGAATAGGTCACACCGCGGATGCCGCTCTGAAGCAGTCGCTCCGCGTGAAACACGCCTCCTCCGAGCCGCACTCCCCGTCCGCCGCGCCGAAGTTCACCACGAAGCGGCTCAAGGGCACCTGCGTTCACGGCGGTGGGGGCAGTGAGCGGCTCCTGCGTTCCCACAAGAATCCAGGGTTCTCGGGGCTTTGGTTCTTGCAGGGCAACAGGACGCATCAGCACGCAGTTGAGCTCACGGCATACGCGGCAGGATTCCAACAGGTCTCTCCATGGTGAAAGTAGAAAGTTTCAAGTGTAATTGGGGTGGTCACGGCGACAATTTCCTGGATCCTGCAAAAGGATTCAATTCAGGATTGGAAAATATTGGAAACATATTTCAACAAATGAGACAAAGAAGATTAAAAGTAGCGTGCGCCCATCCGTTTGAGACCAAAATCAACACACTAGGATAAACATGTTCTGTGCCAGGCTCTGACCAGAAATATCGTTTTACTGAACTGTAACTCACTTTTATTGTTGAACTATGTTGTTTATGAAACTGATTCAGATCGTTATGAACATTTTTGTCAGACATTTTACATATGAGTTATAAACATATGGTTGTTTATGAACATATGAATTGCGAAATGCACCTGGCAAACAATTGGTCCAACGCATTCAACCGATGCGGTGCCCTTCTCTTTGACCCGTCTGCACCGGTGCCGTACCTGACCCGAGAGCATCTCCAGGACACGTGAGGCCTGAGAAGACCGTGTGGGCCACACGGCTCTGAGCTACACCCACGGTCTACCACACCCGGCAGAAGGACCCCATCCCTTATACTGGATGATGAAACTATCCTTTATACGACCTTGTGATGCTTGTGATGCTGGATGGTGATCAAACTCCATGGAACTAAACAAAACCAAATCATTTCTTGCTGTGGGTTGGATGAACAAGCTCCTCTCTCGAGTGCTCTCCTTTAAAACGCTGGGATTGTTTTGCTGCTCACTCACCAGACAAAAAACTCCAGAGAGTGAACCTGACTGAACCGTGCCCAACCACTGTATAGAGACATGTCAAATACTCGATATTCTAGGTGCACATCTCACTCTATTTCGAAGGGAAACAAGTGACTTGAAACAGAGAAATATCATGTCCTTTTCTGTCCCTATAGCGTTTGTGTTTTTTGTGGTTTGCTTGTGGTTCTTCAGAACGGTCAAAGAATTTGGGAAAAAACCGTCGCGTGAAAAACCAATTGGTCGCCAAACTTTAGGAAATGACCTCATGTTGATCCATTCGGAGATTGTACACCCCCTGGGTTGCTTCCATACTGAACAGAAACCTCTGGAAGAGCACTTCCAAGGCCATCTCACTGCCTAGTTTGTATAGAAAAACTGCATAGCACGGATTGAAAGGCTTGATGTCTGATGGAT